TTAAAGTAGTTTGCTACTATTGCCATGAACATGATCATATGAAGAGAATGCGTCAGAAGTTGCTTAAGAAAGATAAGAAGGGCTCTAAATCATGGTATGCTCATATGGTCACTACTAATGAGGCCTCCCAAAGTCAGACTCTATCGCTTACTACAAATGAATATGTTAAATTCATCCAAATTCAAGAAGCATCCAAGAAATCTACCTCCAAGACTGCCCTTGAAGAGTCATGTAACAGTGATACTTGTCTTCTCTTCTTCCACATAATGGGTCAATGACTATGGTGCTACAAATCATATAACAGGTAGTCCAAATCTCTATTTCACCTTTCATAAACATCTTTATTTCGTTACCTTAACAGACAAATCTAACTTTAATATTCTTGGTACTGGCACCATCACTGTTACACATACATTCCATTTAAATTTTGTCCTCATCTTACCTTAATTTTCTTTTAATCATGTCTCTGTTAGTAAAATTACATATGCTCTTAATTGTTATATTTTATTCATTCCTGATCACTATCTTCTTCAAGATCTTATGACGAAGAAGATTATTGGTAAAGGTTCTAAAGAACGAGTGGAGTGGAACATTCTAGAGATTCTGGAGAATAAACTACCACGATACATAACATGTTCCAGCACCTTATCTCCTTCTGAGGACCATTGTCGACTAGGACAACCATTACTACCAATACTAAAATGGTTATACCCTCAGTTTCAACAATTATCATATTTAGATTGTGAGTCGTGTCAATTTGTTAAACACCGTTATTTGTCTTCTGTTCTTATAATTAATAAAAGAGTTGGTCATAGTTTTGAGTTAATTCATTCTCATGTATAGGGATCTTGTCTTGTTTTATCTAATGAATTGTGATAGTTTGTTACTTTTGTAGATGATTTTTCTCGTATGACTTGGCTTTATTTTATAAAATTCCCTACTGAGTTATTGTCATATTTTCAGTCCTTATGTGTTAAAATTAACTCAATTTAATTTTTCGGTCAATATTCTGAGAAATGATAATACCAAAGAATATTTCTTCTAAACCATTTCAAATATACATGATACAAAACGGGATGCTTCACCAAACAGCATGTCTCGATAATCCATTTCAAAATGGAGTAACTGAAGGACAAAATAGATATCTTTTGGAGACAACACTTTTGTTTCAAACTAATATGCTCAAATAATTTTAGGTTGATGCAATTTCTACTGCATGTTTTTAAATCAATTAGATATAATCCTACCAAGTATTTTTTCCAACTAACTCTCTTTCCCATTGAATCACGTATATTTAGGAGTACTTATTTTGTTTGCGATACTCGACCAAGAGAATCTATACTGGACCCTAAGTCATTAAGATGTGTCTTTCTAGGATACCCCCGCTTGCAAAAAGAGTATCGATGATTTTCCCCTTTTAAATAGGTACATGGTTTTTGTTGATGTCATATTTGATGAACAAATCTCACTCTCTTTGGTGACTAATGTTGCTTTAATGCTCACAAAATTTTGATGAATTGTTAATGCATCATATCAACAATTTAGAGCTAGATCTTGATCGAGCTCTACTTCCACCACCAACGCCTCAGCTTAGATCACATATCACTAATATTTACTCTATAAGGCATCATCCCCCTGATCCTAGTCCAGGACTGATATCATCTTTCTTTAGTGGATCCTCCAAGTGACCTTGATCTACCTATTGCTCTTCGAAGAGATAAACATCAATGTGTCTATCTCATTTTCTCTTATGTTAACTATAAATAGTTATCTTCTACTTTTAGTTCGTTTATTGTTTCTCTTGACTTTGTTAAGATCCCAAGCTCTGTCAACAAGCCTCATCTCATTCTGAGTGGCGTGCAATGATGCTTGATAAAATAACTGTCTTAACTAAAAATGGAACCTGGGAACTAGCTGATATCATCTAGAAAAAAAAGAGTCTTATAAATTTGTAGCTCATCCCAAAGCCCGGTTGCTTGAGTATTTGGACACGTTATCTCTGATAGCTAAGTTGACTTCAGTCTGCTTCTTTCTATCCTTGGTCTCAATGAATAACTGGTTCATGCACCAGCTTGATGTGAAGAATGTTTCTTTGTATGGAGATCTTTTAGAAGACGTATACATAGAGCAACCTACTAGGTTTGTTGCTCAAGGGGAGTCCAGGAAAATGTCACCTTCGGACGTTATTATATGGATTGAAGCAAAGTCGTAGGGCATGCTTTAAAAATTTCAACTAAGCATTTGAAGAATTTGGGATACAGAAAAGTAAAACTGGTAATATTGTATCCATAAGAAATCTATTTCTGGCATCATTCTTCTAGTGGTGTAGGTTGATGACATTATTATTACTAAAATCAATGTGAGCAAATCTTATCAGTAATCATTTCTCCAAAATCAGTTCAACACTAAAAATCTGATCAATGCCTTGAAATATTTCAAGGGGATTGAGGTATCAAGGAGCAAGAAGGTTATCTTTCTATCTCAAAGGAAATATATCTTGGATTTATTAGCATAAACAAAGAAATTAAGAGTCAAACCATACAGTACTTCTATGCTTCCTGGTCAATAACTTACCAAGGATGGAGAGCTTATTAATGATTCAGAATGATATAGAAAGTTGAAAAATTAAAGTACCTAATAGCGACCACCTAGATATTGCTAATTCGGTTAACATTATAAGTCAGTTCACGCCTTCTCACACAATCCATCATTGGTCAACTTTGTAGCAAATACTATGTTACCTCAAAAGAGCTCATGGATAAGTATTTATATCAAAATTATATGTATAGACTATTGAATGCTTCTCTGATGCAGATTAGGCGAGTTTCAAGATTGATGGAAGATCTATAACTGGACATTATGTTTTTGTTGGTGGCAATTTGGTCTCACAAAAAAGTAAGAAGCATAATGTAGTGTTACGATTCAATGCAAAATTAGAGCATCGAGCAATGACACAAGCTTCAAGTGAATTGATATGGGTCTCTCAATTATTAACTGAAATGGGTTTTAAGATAACAGCTCTAGAAAAAGGATGGTGTGATAAACAAGCTGCAATTCAAATTGCTTAAAATTGTCTTCCCTGAATGAACTAAGCACATTGATACAGATTGTCACTTTGTTCGTAAAAAGATTCAACAAAATTTGATCTCTACAGCTCATGTAAAGACTGAAGAACAACTAAGGCTCACCTTCACAAAGGCAATTAATGGAGCTAGGATTACTTACATTTGCAAAAAGCTAAGCATGATAAATAAATATGATCCAGCTTGAGGGGGAGTATTATGAAAACTTATATATTAAATAATTTTGCTTCCCTTTACAAACTTATGATACAAAAAATAGAATCCTACCTCATTGCAAGAATCTCAAAAAGAATATCTCCTCAAAATTTAAAAAAAGAAACCAGCTCTCCCAGATTATTGGCAATTAACTCCTAAATACAAATAATTGATGAACTTTTAAACCAAACATCTAAGAAAAAAATTAAATAGAAGACATTAACTAAAATTTAACTTTAGAAGTTTGGACACACTAAAGGACTTACACCCAAGCCCAACCCACTGCAAAATGGCCTTCCCTCTTAGGTCACCTGTCATTAGCATACTTCCTTAAATTGGCCTGAAAGCTATTATTCCTACCTTATCACTAGGCTGAGGGCCGACTATTCTAATCCTCCTGAATCAATGGCATCACACAAAAGTTGCAATTAACTTGCACGGCACTCGTAGAATATCCAACCAGAAAGGTAACACCTTCTTAAAAAAATATATCATGTTACATACCTTAATACCTGATTTAAAATCAAAAAATCAGTCCCCCAGAATTGAAAAATAAAACATAGTTAGTTGAAAGCCCTAAACACTGAAAGCTGGTAGTAAAAATGCCAGAGTGATGTTCTCAGCTCCATCTACAGTAACAATCAAAAACTGAAAAAAAACAGAAATCCAGATCATAAGAATAATTCTAGAGGTGGAAGTCATGAATTGCAAGCAAAAAATATAAAATTACAGGTAGAAGAATTCTTTCAAACACTTTGACACATGTTCAGCAAACAACTTATGGATTCCAACATAGAAGGAATCAGAATCACATTGGGATAAAATAAAATGGAATACCGGGGGTAAGCCACAATTCATAATTTTTACTGCAAGAACTAAATCAATCAGTAACTGCCAGAAAACATAGCCATTATTTATTTAAGAACATCAGTAGTAAAAAGCCGTTGAAGAACCAACAACAATCCTAAATAAAGGCGCAAGCAGAGAACCAATGGTGAAACAAAAGTAAACCAAAAATAAGCCATAGTGAACTGAACCTAACCAACAAGAACCGACACAAAAAACAAAATAAAAGAGAATACAATCCATTCTCAGCGGGGAAACATCACAAGCTTGTTTTCGAAGAACAAAATAAGATAGATTAAGAAAAATAAAATAAGATAAATTACGAAAATAAATGCAGCTAAAGTATAATCAAAATTCTGAAAATTGATTTACATAATAATGCCTATATCTGTAGAAGTTTAAAATTACACCAAAATATTTACAACAATAAAAACTTCCACAGTATCAGCAGAAATAAAACTAGAATATGAAACAGAATCAGTAAATTTAAGAAAGTAAAATTTTGACCCAAATCTGCAAATGGAAAGCAACAGTTTTTAAGAATTAAAAAAAAATAAAAGTGTGCATTATCATATCTGTTCTTCCCTACTTAGTAATTTGATCCATCAAGCTGACTCATTAAAACTCTGTTTTGCTAGACATCATCTACATTTCTTGAGGTGAAAAACTAGTTTCAAAGTCAAACTCAACCTAACTCTGCATGAACTATCAAATCAAATAAATTTAAGAATCAATAACTCAATGAATAGCATATCGCAAATTCAACTTAAGTTTTAAAATATATGCATATAGGAGTATAAATTTAATTTAAAACGAGGGATCATAAGGCACATTCAAAGTTATAAGTAGCCATAAGTTTGATCATTGTAGTTGCACCTCCATATGGAAATGGTGAATTCAATGATTGTGGGTAATGAGCATCTTCTGCTAACTTTGACATTATTAGATAGATTGCTCTTAATTGTTCTTCCAAGGATCCAGTCACAGTAACTAGCCTATCAGTGAACCCAGCATAATTATTATCTTGAGGTGATATCTTGATGTCAGCCTGGGATTCTTCAATAAACGACCTGAATAAACTTAGATGATTAGTATAAAACTAAAAAATGATGACAGGGTAGAATATTTAAAGTAAAAACAAGAAGATACGAGCACTAAATTAAAAATGAGCAACGTGTCAACCATTCCAAGGAAACATCAATGTATCATCACTATAAATTACTCAAGATAACCAAAATTGCTCCAAATCATTATTAGTTCGCTTCATGAACTTTAATTTGCATTTCAGCAAATAAATAATAAAATGGAGGATGAAATGACACCGAAATACTATTCAGCTTCTCTTAACTTTTATTAAGAACATGCTGCTCGAGTTGCTGCACCAAAATATTATGGCTTATGCATCTATTATGGCTTATGCATCCTAGAGAGGCACATAGCCAAAAGCTCTGCCCATTTACTGTAAAATTATGCCCAGCTTAAACCTAGAAGTCCAGGCTGAATCACAATTTACTCCCAGGTGTAAGATATTTAAGAGAACGAGATTTACCAAATGGGAGTGAATAATAACATTGAATTTGTTCCAAGATAAGTTAACTAAAGGGAAGGTCTGGGTTTTGTTCTTTTTAATGCAGGTAATAAATCCTACATTCGGGCTGATAGCGGATATGAAAAATCCTATAAGGGCCTACTATGATTTCTACGTGGCTACCCATTTCAGATCTATATATACCTTTTGCCTGGGTTTGGCTCTCAACCCCTGGTTAGTTGGCCCTAGCTCAAATGAGATTTATATGGATTCAATTGTGGAATCAAGTAGCGATTTGTGAATTATAATTGTTGCATTCAAAGAAATGGTGTGTGCAGAGACATGAGTTTGCAACTTGCAACTCCTTCAAAGGATTATGACTTGCTCATTTTGCAGCTATTATGGAGGTGCATTTGTTCTGTTACTACAATTCCTTGGTAAAGGTTGCTGGCTTCTAGTGCATAACTAGCAGACTTTGTGTGGCTACTCCGAGATAAGTTTGTCAGCTTATCATCTGATTCTTATTTTTTCTGAATTATAAATTGCAGGAGAATATTTACTTATAAATACTGAGGTCTAAGGCATGTAGAATAATATCTCCCACTAACTCTATTATGTTCAAATAAATTTCTATTGGGATATAATTCCATCTAGCCTTCTACTTGTGTAAGTGGAGAATGAAAATTGTGGGGGAGTGATCTCATGTTACAAGAGTAAAGCTAGAATTTAATTATATTTTTTAATCTTTTAAATTTTTCATATCTACTATTAAAATAATGACTATTGGTTTGCAAGCGTTGTCAAGTTTTATCAAATTAGATACAATTTAGATTACAATGGCATCATGATTTCGTAGAATATATGGTTTTTCATGCTTACTAACTTTTATGTGTTATTTGTAATAAATAATTATTAAATGAATAGTTGTCTAAATTATAAGTGTGAGAATAGTTATAATATATTTGTTTGTAGTTTTATGCAATTCAACATGTATTGGTGATATCCTTCTTTTGGATAAGACTAGAGGCAAAGTTCAGAAAAAAAAAACTTGAATTATAAAGGTCTACGCGGAGTCTAAAGGCCTTCGTTTGAGTAAAACTAAAATTGAATACATGGAATTTAATTTTAGTAGAAGTAACTCTAGTGGCAGAGTTGTACTATATGTGATCAAATCATTAAAAGTGTGAACGTTTTTTATACCTTGGATCTAGATGGGATGTTATTGGTAGAATTCAAGTTGGTTGCTTGAAATGGAGGAATTCATCAGGCCTATTGTGTGATAGAAATGTACCATTTAAACTGAAAGGAAAATTTTTTAAGATGGTGGTGAGACCCACAGTGCTCTATGGTCTTTAAAAAAGACGCATAAAAAGAAGTTAAGTGTTGCTGAGATGAGAATGCTTAGGTGGATGAGTGGTTGGACACTAAGAAACAAAATGCGAAATGAATATATTCGTGACAGAGTTGGTGTAGCTCTGGTGTCGAACAAGATTAGAGAGAGTCGCCTTAGATAGTTTGGTCACATTAAACTTCGACCATCTGATGATCCGATTATGAGAGTAGATGTTTTAGATTCGACTGATGTTAAGAAAGGCATAGGTGCACCTAAGAAGACTTGGGTGTATTGTATCAAAAATGATCATAATCTATTAGAATTAAATGAAAATATGACACTCGATAGGACGCAATTGAGAATAAGGATTCATGTAGCCATCCCCATTTAGTGGGATAAATGCTTATTATTTTTGTCGTTGTTGCATCATGGATTGGAGATAAAGGGCTCTAGACCACAAGCTATCCAATGCAAAAAATTCTCATAACAGAATGTTTCCTAAACATATGATAGAATAAATAGGCCAATAAACAGCGCAATAAAAGACAATTGATGAGTTCCACGTGAATTCTTTAAGTTTTAGAATTACATTACAACATTCGATAAGAAGACAACAAAAAATTCTCAAATATGATAGATAACTTCAATTATTTTAGTCTAAAAGATACAATATATTTGATGTCCAAAAGGCTGAATATGATAAAACAAAATTAGTGAGACAAGCTTAATAATTATGGCGAAGTGTTGCAAGTAAAAAAAAATCAACATGAGTTTATATGAATCATAAACGTAAATAAAAATATTTGTCACACGGTGATCATAATGATTGGTACGATCAATTGAAGAACTTCAAACAAAGTGAACTATAAAATATTTAAGCATTTTTGTTGAACTGAAAGATATTTTCAACAAATATTATGTAAATAGATTACTCTATTATCGCCATCTACATTATTAAGGTATTAAGAAGAAATAAAGTATGAATTAAGTTCAAGCTCCAAAACATACTGAAGGGTAATGTGAGAGAAAAACTTCTCTTATTCCTTAATATTCAATATATAACTCCTCTCATTATATAGAGAGTAAATTCTAGGGCAAGCATAATTCTCACAAATTATAACTTACCAAATCTACAACCAACACAGAAGCAAAGAACTACAGAAATAATAATAGAAAAATAAATGAGCATAACTCTAAAAAGGATACACATAATTCAACACTCCTCAAGCAAAGCCATAGATGTTGTTGAGACCCAAATTGGTCTTCAAATTCATAAAGCTGCCTAGAGAGAAATTTTATGAAGATATAGGCAACTTGCAGACGAGTTGGAATGCAGATTAAATGAATGACGACTCCATTGACATTCTTAGAGATAAAAATTCTATCAATCTCAATATGTTTGGTCTTATCATGATGTACAAGATTCTTTGCAATGTTAATGGCGGCTTGATTGTCACAGAACATCTTTAGAAGACTGACTGCAGTTCTTCTAGTATATTTTGAATCCACATTCCTTCTCATATTCCCAAAAAAAGTGTCTGATACTCAGATTTTGCACTGCATCTAGAGATCACTGTTTGTTTCTTGCTTCTTCATGTGACAAGATTTTCAAAGACATGGGAACAATACTAAGAGGTAGATCTTCTGTCCAAGAGTTTTCTTGCCTAGCTAGCATCAGTCTAAACCTCAACATTTTTGTAGTCATATTTCTTAAATAATAACTCCGCCAGAGGTTTTCTTAAGAAATCTTAATATTTTGTACATCATCTAAAAATATTCTTCAATTCGATTGTTCATGTATTGACTTATTATATCAACAGAATAAGTGATATCAGGTAGAGTGTGTGACAGGTAAAGAAACTTAAACACCAATCTCTGAAATCTATATTTTTTTACTGATATCTTCTCACCCCCGATTATAATTTTTTTTTTAAATCCATAGAAGTTTCAGCTGGTTTTCACCCTAGCATTCTTGTTTCTTTTAATAAGTCTAGGATGTGCTTTCTTTGAGATATCACAATACCTATCTTGGACCTGCCCACTTTCATGCCCATAAAGTATCTCATTGCTCTTAGATCCTTCATTTCAAATTTAGTAGCAAGAACCTCATTAATCATTCCAATCTTTATTCATCATCACATGTCAGAATCATATCATCAATATAGATAATGAGTATTACTTTATTACTTCCCTATATATGCTTTATTAACAATGTATGATCTGCATGGCATTAGATATGCTTAATATATTTCAAAATTTTGGCAAACTTATCAAACCAAAACCTTAATGATTGTTTGAAACCGTAAAGTGACTTTTTTAGTTTACACATCTAGTTTTTATTTGAGTCATCTTCTAGCCCTAAGAGAATTTCCATATACACTTCTTCTTCTTCCAGTTCTCCATTCAAAAACACATTCTTGACGACAAGTTGATGCAGATCACACTCTTTATTCACAACCAATGAGAGAAGAACTCTTACAGTTCATAATTTGGCCAATGGAACAAATGTCTCTTGATAGTCTATCACATAACACTGAGTGAAACCTTTAGCCACCAACCTAAACTTGAACCTCTCAATACTCCCATAAGCTTTTTACTTGATATTGAACACCCATTTGAATCCAACTAGTCTTTTATTTAGAGGAAATTTTGTAAGGGTCCACCTACCATTTAGCATAAGTTCTTGAACTTTTTCAACTGTCTTTTTCCAAAATGGAATTTAAAGTGCTTCATGAATCTACTTGAGCATCTGCACACTGCCAAAATTAGATACAAATGCTTTGTAAGTTGATGATAACTTCTCAAAGGCAACATACCCTTTGATAAAATTAAGTGTGTATCTTTCCCGATCTTCTTCGTTGGATGCCACTTCCCCCAAAACCTCAAAGGTGGGTGAATTCAGGGTAGGTTGTGAACATTCATGTGGTTGCATCTTGTCTTTACCCAACATGGTAGATTTACTTCTACTTTTATACACACGAGGCCCGTTGATCTTAATTTTCTGTTGAATGTTCTCAACCGAAGGATCTTGGGTAGCAGGATAGTTGGATGGAAGGAGAACAGATTATGATGACTCTGGATCAATGAGGGTATCCACAATAGTGTTGGGAACCTGAATTGATTGCATTGACTCTGGGCCAGTGTGAATGTCCAAAGTGAAGCCTTAAGTCTGATATTCACCCGAACACTCCCCTTGAATATAAGATTTA